TATATATATATATATATATATACACCCACACTCACACGGGTGAATGGACAGCAACGGTAGAAGAAGTATTGTTGCACTGCAGTCTGAAACACAGAAACCGACCTGTTTACAAACATGGATTTAACCTTTGTTTTCTCTTTAGACAGTTTATCATCAGGAATTCACTGCAACAGCAACAACCAACTGTTATTGTATTATCCTCCATTACTACTCTTATATTGGCCCATTTTAAGCATAAAAAAAGAACACTCAAGTCAAATCTAGAATAATACACTTTCTTAATTATTTACACTGATTAAAACTGGACCCTCCCTGCTCATCGGGTCAATAGAATTTAGTGCATCTAAACACTAAAGTACCAGACGATACTTTCAGTGACAGCTCATGATGAGCAGCACCGTCTTGGTAAACTGTGGTCCCAAACGACACGGCCGAGGATTCGACACATTCGACCCGGAGGGAAAGTTCAGTTTTACAGATTAAACCTGAGTGACAATTCTTTTGAGTCAAAATGGGCCATTTAAGAGAGAAAAAAACACTACAAATTAGCGGCAACATTTTGTCCCATTTTTTTTTGCAGTTTTTTTTTTTTTTTTGCAAATACAACAGGACAAACAATATCCAGTTCCTGTCCCAAGCTGTACCACCGAATGCAGTTTTTTTTCTTTTCGGTAATAGAAACCTCCTTTTTTCCCTTGGGAACAAAAATGTACAAAAACCAGGACCATGGACCACTGTTCGTCACAGAAAAAAAGTGTCATTGAAAATAAGAATCGGGGTGGGGGAAAATAAAAAAAAAAAAGACAGTGAAAGGTAAGTAAAAAAATAAATCAGGAAAAAAAACAACGGCCCCACTGTCAATAGTAATCCCAGGACTGGAGCTGAAGGAGCAGTCTGCGCTAGAATGTGGTGCCACTCTGCACAGAGGCGAAGGGAGGAAACCCTGCGGCTTGTCCCATCTCTGCTGGAGTTCTGGATCCCGGGAAGGCGTAATGTCAGACCGCCAGCCGTCCTGGAGGTGGGTGCAGGGGGCTCCAGGTGGGGGGTGCAGGGGGCGGTTCCTGTGGATATGGACGCGGTTCGCAGCACGGCTGGTTCTCTACTTTGGCTACGCTGCGACCCTGGCACAACCGCCGATGTCGCAGCAGCCGGTCTGTGCGTGAAAAATTCTTTAGGAAAGAGGAAAAGAGTCTTGTTAGATCTAGAGGAAGATGGATGGATGCCACCTCAGAGGAAACCATCTTCAACTAGCACACAGCACGCAAGACTTTGCACAAATATCACCCAAGCTTAATTAAGTCTAAGCTAAAAGGTAACTTTTATGTTTATAAATCAAAAAACACTGTTGGCGTGTTGGTCTGTTTTAGATTTCTTCCTAGTTCAGTTCCACCCACCTGCTGGCACCTTTCGCACTGATAAGGCTTCTCCCCGCTGTGAACACGCTTGTGTCGCTCAAGGTGGTAGCGCTGAATAAACCTCATATCACACATGTCACATGCAAATGGCTTCTCTCCTAAAAGAGCACACAAATACAAAGTCAATGCATCAGTTTTAGAGTCTTGAGTCAATTAAAATGGCACAGCGTTGTTTTAATCTTTCTTTAGAGAATAACTGTCCAATATAATAACATTAATATTAACTGTACATTAATAATAACAATAATGCTCAGTTTGGGTAGATTAACTCCCCTATACAATTTACTTGGAGCTTTTAAATAATGATCTCTTCAAAAAAGCCTCGTCATCAACTCATTATGTGTAGATCAGAGTGGAATTTCTCAATTTCATAGCCCAGATCTAAAGCAACGCAGAAGCCCCACAAATGGGGGTGAGTTTCTTTTAGGCTGGTTCAACATCCCATCAAATGACTAAACAGTCCAAACTCGAGTTTGTTGTTCATGCACCGTGGCTTTCTGAGTTAACAGGGGTGCGGCAGAGGAACGCATACCCGTATGAGTGAGGCTGTGTCTCTCCAGGTGGTTACGCTGAATAAACCTCATGTCACACATGGAACAAGCAAACGGCTTCACCCCTACACACACAGAGCAATATATTAGCCCTACCACCCAACAAGTGCAAGAAACACAGGCTTTTAAGCTCAAACTAGCCCTACAAAGTGAATTAATCCTACACAGGAATGTAATGTACATTTAGTTGTCTGGATATGAGCATTCATGCAACCAAGTTAGATTGTAACAGAGCTACAGTACTGTGCAACAGTCTCAGGCCGATCTTCCATTGATACTCTGCTAAAATATGGAGAATATGAACTAAAAAATATATAGAAGGGAACAAACTATATATCAGGAAACAGCACTCTGAATACATTATTAAATGTTCCACATTTTGTTGCGTTAGAACTGCAACTAGCATTTTATTTGATCGGGAATTTACGTGACTGATTAGCTAAAAAAAAGCACTTATTTCTAGCATTTTAACATCTGAAAAGCGGTTTTTGAGTCTTTCTACAGATTCCAATCAGGATCTAGGTCTGAACTTTGATTGGATTCGACCGAAACAACTCAATTACAGCTACAGCATTAGGTTTATGTTAGTGTTGTGCTGAAAGCCCTGATCTAGACTCTTTTAGATCTTCTGACAGACTTTTATTTAGATTTATTCAGCTTATTCAATTGTTTCCAGCTTTTTTTTTTTTTTGCAACCCCACATTATGATGCTGCCATCTTCTCAAGATGACCAACCTTTAAAAACTTTTGCACAGTACCGTAAACAATTCAGGAGGTCAGGAGCACTGAGGCGTACCCGTATGAGTGAGGCTGTGTCTCGCCAGGTGGTAACGCTGAACAAACCTCATGTCACAAATGGTACAAGCAAAAGGTTTCACACCTAAACGCAGAGCATCAAGATGTTAATCTCAGTGGGGGGGGTTGCACTTCACGTTTTACAATCCATCAATCTGAAAAGTACTTTAAATTGCATTTGCAATTGATGGGTTGCTAACCACTTCTCAGTTGTTAAGAAATTCCAAATTTGTCTAAAAAAAAATATGAGGATACTTTCAAATTTGTTTAAGAGATTGAGGTATTGTGCTTTGTTGTCAAATTATGCATCCACTTCTAAACACATCTCATGAGCTGATGATATATTCAACCCTAGACTTATTTCACATGTTACTTAAAAAAAAAAAAAAAACGCTTCTTTAAACAGAAAATTCATACACTAGGCTGAGTCAAACTTCATAAAGTATAAACAAGTAGAATTTGGTGACATGGGTAAGGTAGGCGGACGCATACCCATATGAGTGAGGCTGTGTCTCGCCAGGTGGTAGCGTTGAAAAAACCTCTTGTCACACATGGTGCAAGCATAAGGTTTCACACCTAAACGCAAAGTAGCATTATTACTCTTATAACACTTAAGCTATCATTTCCATTCTTTAACAAAAATGTCATGCAACACAAAATAGATATGTTTCAAACGTTAACTTTAGTGTGCTGTTTGAAGCTGTCAATGAAAAACAAAACAACTGTGCAAAGTGTACCTACTTTAAAAGAGCTCATGTTTGTCAGCTGTGATGCACTAGGATCAGTTTTAAACTTCCAGAGAGAAGTAAATATTCTCTTTAATCTACCTACAAAATGCTAAAGGATATCCAATAGATACAGCAATCAACTACGCACAATTTGTCTAAATAATTCAACGGCCCACATGTAATTACAATGGAGAACCTAAAAGCTGAAATGGGGGTTTTAAAAGTACAGGCCTATGGTCTAGTTCTTATCTCATTGAATAGATTATAGCCCCATTTACACCACTTTTTGAAACCGTGCACAGTAACCGAGATAACTAAGTGTAAATGGCACGCAAAACTGAACCGGACCGTGCCAGACACAACCGAACAGCGCCAACATGGTACTAGTTCCTGAGTAGGGCTCGACGAGGTTCAGTTCAGGCTCGGTTCTCAGATAACAAAGAGTGCATGAGCAGACCGCGTCATCGCCTAATTACAATCAGCTTCCAGTGGTTGCTGATAATGCACATCAGTAAGTTGCTTACCAACCGCAACAAAACAGAGGAAGAAGAACTGTAAACATCAATCCACATCTTCTTAACAATACATTTTTTTTAAATAGCTTTAAAAGAGCTAGGTGCAACCTGTGGTGACACCGAGACTGAGGCTGTTATTGCAATTTGGGCGAAGGACGCTATCCAGGCTATGTTGGACAGAACAAAACATAATCACAAGGTTTTCCTACTAGAGAGCAGTAGTACCGTAGATCGTCACTAGGAGGCGAGCAAGCATGCTAGCGTGATGTGTAAATGGTCGTAAGGAACCGAACTTGGATTAGTTAACCGTGCTCGGCACGGATGGGTTTTCAGAGGGTAGTGTAAATGGGGCTAAGAAGTCAGATACTAACTGGAACGTATTTTATAGAGGCAAAGTTACTTTTTGTTGTATTATCTAAAAATGTATAAATGGCCTGTATGACTGGTAGGGATGGGCAATATAGTGCTGTTAACTGTACCAGAGGATAAAAATCAGTTGACTGAACAATCTGATTATGTTTTCGATTCAAATGGTTTGCAGGATCCTTTTATTTTTTTAACTATTTTATCCACCAGTGGTTCTATTTATGGATGGCCCATATCGCCCTGTCTATTAAATATCAATATCAAAATGTTTCCCCCCTATATAGTAAATCAAAAATCATTTGAAGATTAGTTTTTGTTTTTTTGAAAAGGTTCCACCTCTTAAAAGCCAATTCCAGCTTTGCTTTGAGAACAATCCATGTAATTAGCCATTTGAAAAAATAGCTAAACATGTATGTTAAGAGTGAGCTTTTATTAACTATTAGCCTGTTTAGTATTAGTACCTATCTGACACCGCCTGTGATTTCCCTCAATACCTCAATTCTGACCTCTTAATTATACTGCCAACATTTTTATTTCGGACATCAGGACAAAAGCCTTCCTGTTTTCCCGCTTAGTTCTTGCTCTCTCACAGACTGAAACGGACCAAAGACATGGATCAAAATTCAATTAAATTATACATTTTTAATCCCCGAAGGGTATTTCAGTAAGGTTAGAAAACAAAATATGACTTTAAACTTTGTACTACATCTTTAAACCTTATCTGGCTTCATTTTAATTTCCTACTGACACTGAAAATAGCTCATATTGAGTCTTCCACTGTTACTAGTTTCAGAGATTGTCATCGTCAGAGCTGGTGGTGTTTAAGTGTCACAGAACGGCATGAGATTGGATACTTAGAATGTCTGACTGGTGGATCGGGGCAGATTGAGGTTAGGAATGTCTTATTCTGGGTGTCTCTTTAACAATCATGATAGGAAATTACACCCTATGTTTAGGTGAAAGATTTTTGGGCAGAGTTTCTATCTGTGTTTAATTTTTCTTACTTGTGTGAAAACTGACATGTATTACTTTAGTAAACTCTAATACAGATTTTTAAGCCAACTTAATAACTCTTCTACACTCAACAGAAAAAAAACATGTTTCCTCCAATCAATTTTCAGACAATCTTGTGACATGAAAGGTAGTTGTATGAATCTGATCATAGAAAGCCATATAGATTTTATAGTTTCAAATTAGGCAAATCAATGCAATAAAATCTTGAATAATTTGATAATGTCAAGTCACCAATCATCAGTTCCATATTAACTACCGTAATTTTCGGACTATAAACCACACCTGAATATAAGCCGCAGCAGCTAAATTGCATGATTTGTACATATACAAGCTGTACCGGACTATAAGCCGCAGATTTTTTATGTTTAATTACCATATGGTTCGTGCACAGAGAGGATTGTCGGGAAAGAGGAAACTGTTCGGGGAAGCTCCCATTTATTAACATTTCAACACAATTGAATTGAGACAATTCTTCCTGCTGGCGTCTCCAACGTCTCACCATTGACTCGTTGATTCCAAGGTTACGTGCAGCGGTTCTATTTCCTTTGTTTACTGCCAAATTGACTGCCTTTAACTTAAAAGCTGCATCATATGCATTTCAACGTTTGTTTTCCATAATGAGGGTGTCACAGAAACAGTCTTGCGCTCGCAATGTCCGTCTTTCTGTGTGGCTACTTGTGTGTTGAAGCAAATGTGACGTCAACATGGTGGATGGCAAAATCCATAGATTTAGGTACCGTATTACCCTAGTGGCCGTTAGCTGTAAAAGTCCATAGATAAGCTGCATTGTTTTATAAGCCGCGATGTCGAAAATGGTCGAAAAATGGGGAAAAAGTCACGGCTTATAGTCCGAAAATTACGGTATAAAACTCAGGTTTGAAGGTAACTGTGTATTTAAATTGCATGCTTTACTGCAGTTAAGTCAACTAGCATACTTGATAATAGGTCAGTTTCAATTTCATCTTTGCAAAAATTACCCCCAAAAATATTGTTCAGACGTCCATATCACCCATCCCTAGAATCTGCTAACACTTCTGATCCTGATTTGTTGGACACCACGTCATATTTTTCTCTCTATCGTGAGGGGGGGGGGTGGACTGAGGCGTACCAGTATGAGTGAGGCTGTGTCTTGCCAGGTGGTAACGCTGGAAGAACCTCATGTCACACATGGTACAAGCAAAAGGTTTCACACCTAAACGCAGAGCATTCAAGTATTACATACACATCTGTGTGGGTTTGTGTTCACAATCCATCAATAAGCAAAACACTTTAAACAGATCATCGAAATTGATGGGTTGTTAACCACAAGAATTAGCAGATTTGGAGGAGTCCTCGATTTTACCAAAGAATAAATCAAACTATGTGAACCAATTCAAATCCACTATTTAACACATCACATGAGCTGATGATGCTGCAGTCCTGTAGCCTGACATCATGTTAACATTCCTAGACAGGTTAGATCTAAATGTCCTCCTCAGTCTGAGAGATTACAGCTCAATACCAAATAAAACAAAAACACAGTTTGATTTTTGTGACATGGGTAAGGTAGGCGGACGCATACCCATATGAGTGAGGCTGTGTCTCGCCAGGTGGTAGCGTTGAAAAAACCTCTTGTCACACATGGTGCAAGCATAAGGTTTCACACCTAAATGCAAAGTAGCATTATTATATCACTTTGCCTCATTTTCACGTCTTTAAATTTATGATAAAAATATATACGTTATTGGTTATTAACCACACAAAATGCCTTAACGTTTTATAGAATGAAAAAAAGTTAAACACTGAACTACATTTATCCCGCTTGTGCTTACTAAGACTTACTAAGACTCTGTGAACTTTATAATTACAGGGTTCCAAAAATGTTCCCTAAATAACAAAAAAGCTCTCTTTAGAGACTTCTCAGTCCTTTTTGCTCACTGGAAAATATGAAATACTACAACTATATCTCTACACATTTACGAAACATTTTTACAGAAGGTAAGCTTTAAATATTAAACTTGAAAACACGACAGCAAAAGGAATGACAAGGAAATAATTACAAAAGGAAAACAAAAAAGGGAAAAGACAAAAGGAAGAAATGGTGATATCGTAAAAGGAAGGAAGATATACCAATGGTGAGAAGGGAGCCAGCGCACGAGAGGTGAGTAAAAGTTTGGTCAGAGGAGGCCACTGAGAGACTGGGGGAATTTTTTAGAAGCAGACTGGAGAATCTTCCAAAGCTCTCATGGTAATGACATCACAGCCTGACTGAATGTATCACGGACTACATGACCTTCTGTGTGGGAAGCAATGTGCCTACACGACGGCTACAGTTCTTTAAAAAAAACAAAAAAAACCCCGGGTGACCCCCGAGGGGAAAGTCCGGGGACAAACAGGAGCAGCGGAGAGTTCAGCAGGAGCTCCAATGAAGGATCAGAGCGGCAATGGGAGAAAGCTGGGAGGAGCAGCTGGCTCAGAAAAAATATCAGGGATGTGTGGAGAGGTCTCAAGAATTTCTCTGGCTTTGGGCGGAGGACCAGCAGTGGTGCACACGGTGACACAATGTCAAGGGATGAGTGAAACAGGTTTTTCACCCAGTCTGACTCACACTGGCCCCCTCCCTGCCCTTACCTCTTAACAAGTGAATTTCTCCATTGTGAGATCAATAAAGTTCTATTCTATGCATACAATAATAGCTAGAGGAAGAGAAGTAACAACAAAAAATAGAATAGAAAAAGAAAACATAGAAGAAGACAAACAAGGGGGGAGGACAAAGAAATGGAGGTAATGGACAAGAATGGAGAGAAGGAAAAGGAGGGAACAAATGGGATAAGTATGGATGACTGAAATTATAGATTATATTCTGAAATATTTTATTCTTTTTCTCCATGCTTTAAAGAGCTGGAAAGTAAAAAATACCGAATTCCAGACTTTGTAGGAACCCTGTAATTAACCCTTTCCTGACACATGATTAAGCAGGGGCGTGAAGTGAATAAAAAAAAAAGCGTACAGTCTAAAATCTGACCGACGGTGGAGAGACCCATACCCGTATGAGTGAGGCTGTGTCTCGCCAGGTGGTAACGTTGAAAAAACTTCATGTCACACATGGTGCAAGCATAAGGTTTCACACCTAAACGCAGAGCATCAACAAAAATTATTTTCCTGTCTCTGCAACAAAGAAAAAAAAACCCTAAGCCTGGAATTCCTGTTAGACAAAAACAAAGGGCCAATATGGGCTAAAATATTAACTGTGGTTAATAACCAATGTCATATTGTTAATGTAACTAACAAAGTGTACAACATTATTGTTTGAAATGACTAAGTGTGGTGTTCCTATATCCATTTTTACAACACCAGAGCTGTGTGTATAACCTAATGGAAATAAAGCCCTCTGAAACAGTGAATGAATGCAGATATAACTTCATAAACAAGGCATACGACAGCATCCTAATCTTGTGACAGGTTTAGGATTGGCAGAGGCATACCCATATGAGTGAGGCTGTGTCTCGCCAGGTGGTAGCGCTGAAAAAACCTCTTGTCACACATGGTGCAAGCGTACGGCTTCACCCCTATGCACAAAAAGTATGAGCTTTAGCATTTAAAAAAAACTCAACTGCCAAAAATGATCAGTGATAAACTTTACTAATTGCTTTAGTAAAGTTTTGGCTGCACTTATCAGCGCTTGATTGGAAATTTCCAGCTTCACAAACTTGCTATTAAATTGAAAAAAATAAAGAAAATTGTCCATATTGCTGTTCCCGCACCTAATGTAGTAGTAATTGAGGTATTGTATAATATGAAAGACCTTCTGTTCAGATGGCCAGATCAGCTTGTTTCAAACTAAAAGAGGTTGGTAGGGGGGTATAGAAGACAAAACGAGCAACTGGGGCCTGAATCTCCTGAGGGGTTTCATTCCAACTAGCGCAACAGATTTTTATTTTTTTTTTTCATGTAATGCCAAATAAAAGCTTAATCAGATCATGTTTTTTCAAATCCAAAAAGAGGATTTCCTCCTTAGATTTGTCAAAATGAATTACGCTGATAGCAGTAGACAATTTTAGGCAGTTGGCAAACAACTGTTTTCAACATCAGAGCATCTGCTGTGCTTTCAGAAAAAGTCAACCTCATTGCATCACTGCATTGAAAATCTTTGCAAAATCTAAATCAATACAATGTACACAGTAAACAGTTGGTATGCTGTTTTCTAACTATAACTTTGGATGTGAAATGACAAAATGACAAAGTGCAGGTATCCAGCTAATTAGTTGTTGTTTTGTTCCCCTTCTATCTCAAGGAAACCAAAGTGTAAACATTAATCAAGGACCCTCCTGAGCGGCATTCCAATCTGATATAACCAAGCACAGTATTCTGGAATGTGTGGCTGCTTAATATGCCATGCTAAGTTTTGACCTCTTATTCAGCCCTTTATTTACATTGCCATGCTTCACTAAGGGAGGTGATTAAAACACGAAAGTTCTTAAAAGCAACTAGAACATCTCTTCAGCACAACTCATTTGGCCCAACTGATCGCCACCAGCGAGAAAAGATTCTAAGATAAGATGAATTTTATATTGTTAATAGGGCTGCAACTCACAATTATTTTACAAATCGATTAATCTGTCAATTATGTTCCAATCAATCTATTAATAATCGGATAGCTAAGGTGCCTTAAGGAAGATTTTTGCTAAATTAAACCAGGTGAAACTTAAACTTTTCCACTTAAGGAGTTCAGAATTGAGCATACTGACAGACAAAAATGTATTTTTATCTTAAATGCAAAATGTTTGGGATATTTTTTTATCATTTTAAAATACAACGGCTGCTTTAGGGGCATTGTCAGCTAAAGGCATATTTTACTGTCTTTATACTACACCTAACGAATAATCAATTACTAAATTAGTTGACGATTGTTTCAATAATCGCGTTATCAGAAGTAATCTGAAGAATTGTGTCAACCCTAATTATTAACCTTCAAAAATATGGATTAAGATCTTGGTTAAAGGGGATCTATGTATTATTTAAAAAAATGACAATAAAACCCATTTCCAATTTTCAATCAGAACGTTTAATTTTCTCTATAAAACCAAGACATTCCAAGCGGCAATAGTGTAAAAGTAGCTAAAAACCACCAATTTCCACTTGTTTTATGGTTGTCATGTCATTTCATAAACAAAGCACGGGGAAAATATTCAAACACAAAATGACGACATGGAAAACAAAAAATGCTCCACAGCTAATCAGCAACTGCCAGCATGGTAACAGCAAGCATTACAAACTCGAGTTTGAAGCAGCCATTCAATCATTAATGCACGCTGCATGCACGACCAAAGCCAGCAAGCGAACAGCTCCAAAGTTAATATAAATGAGGGCGTACCTGTATGAGTGAGGCTGTGTCTCTCCAGCTGGTAACGCTGAATGAATCTCATGTCACACATGGTACAAGCATATGGCTTCACCCCTAAAACACAACAAAATTAGACAAATTCAACTTCAAGACAAAAAAATAAATTCAAAATTTTTAATGGCATGCTTTAATAATAATAAGGGTGTTTGAGGCATTACACTAACACAAGCTACAGAGAGCAGTGTGGATAAGCTTTTTTAGTTTAAAGCAATTGGTCTCATTTTGCTGAAGATTTCCTTACAAAGAGACGGTCAGAAACTTTAGAATTTGACTAAATCTTCATAGCGACTGCCTCGATAACTGCTCTTGATATTCCTTGAGTGTAGTGTAATGTGTCTTTCATTAAAAAGCAATGATCAACGATGTGCATGCAAAGTTGCATTACAGTGTTAAAAGTCAAGGTGACTGACGGAATCACTTCTTCAGTGGACAGTTTTCCAACAAAGCCTAAAATTTCTCTTTAACAGAGGAAAATAATTTATATAATTGAAGTATGGAGAAGGGATTATATATCATTTTGTATCATCATAAAGTTTGTTTTTTTCTTTTGGAAATGGGAAAACTTTCACAGTGAAAAAATTAATTGATCATACCAGTATGAGTGAGGGTGTGTCTTGCCAAATGGTAACGCTGGAAGAACCTCATGTCACACATGGAGCAAGCGTATGGCTTCACCCCTATATGCATACAGTACCAGAATTTAGAAAAAAAA